GCTTTTTTTTCAAGTTCAGTGAGTTTCCAGATACGATTAACAGCCAGTCCACACAAAATATTCCACTGCAATTGAGGGTAGAGCGTGCTGTATCTCAGGGATGAATAAACAGAGTGAAAGAAGGAGAAGGAAACACTTTACAATGACACAGAATGTATTGCATCATGAAGCTCCAGCCACGGTGGCAGTGTTTCGACATCTGGTTTGTTATCTTAGAGCAGAAATATGTCTTCTTTTTAGGTATTAAAATTATGAAAGTAACATTTGCCTTTCTCACTCATGAGATCATAAAAGTTGTGGAGCACTAAGTCAGAAAATACAAAATTCTTTTTCAGTGTAAACAGAAAAAGAATAATTGAGAAATTTCACAGAAATATTCCAAGAAAGACTGTTACATTTTCATGCTGTGTCTTGCTCAAGCTTACATGAAGACAGTTTGATGCTCATTTGACTTTTGGCATTCATTAAGCTTTCATAAGCTGGAGCAGTAACCTACAAAGTCTTATTGACTTCTATATTTGACAGTCCTGGCAAGAGTGACAAAATGTGCTTGCCAAATAATTATCTCCCATGGCAAGCCACTAAGGAGATGGAAAAACACTGTGAGGAACCAAAGATTATCATACCTTCTAGGACAGTCATCTTGTTCACGGATCTTGCAAAATGCAAAAAGTGTATTTTTGAAAAAGTGTCTGTAAAATATATTTTTTGAAAATCACTGTTGCATCAATATATATGTATCAACTAATCTGATGTGTGTATATGAATATCATTAGTATTCTTTGCAATTTAGCATATAATATAGAGCAGAAACTGTCTCCAGAAATTATCTCTCTCTCTCTCTTTTTTTCTTTTTCTTTTTTTTTTTTTTTTTGCAATACTAAGAATATAAATGGCAGGCTTTGATTAGAAAAGCCTTTTTCTTGGTGATTTTCCACAGTATTAATCACTACTGTGGTGTTATTTTCTTGATGTTTTGATGGATGAGTGGGAGTTATCTCTTGTTTCATGGATGGTGATGTTACTAAAGGGATTATGTTACATAGTTGCTTGCAGTAGAGAGATTTCAAATCAGTAACAGAGGAGTTTCTTATCACTCTGGTATCACTCTAATTTCCCTATATTAGGAATTAGGGAAAAAAGTTAATCATTTATAATGCACAGCAAGAACAACATAGACTTTAGCCTGCACCTTGGTGTCAGCAGCGTGTGCGACCTCTCCGCATTGTGCTGCAACTGCAGCCACTGTGGAGCTGCACAGGGATGTGTCAGTGCCCACGAGGTGATTTTGCTCTCCGTAGAATTGCCTGCTGCCGTGGGTGCTCCCAGATCCTAAGCAGGGGTCCAAAGCCTCCTCTGCCCCTGCCGCAAGCCCCGCTGCCAAGAGGAGAGTGCTCAGTGGCGGCGTGAGCAGCAGCCCACAGCGAGTTTTAAGAGGGGGCAAGAACAGCGACGTAGCCAGACCAACCCAGAGGCCTGAGTTTTAGCTCGTGTGTCTGGCCACCTAAAGAGGGGGATCCCAGACTAGCAACTCAGCAGACGAGAAAGGCAGCGGCTCCTGTCCTCCTTGCTCAGCGCCAAGCTCCATGGCCCCAGCCTCTGTTTCAGCAAACCCGTGTCTGCTGTGCGCTCTCTGTCTTGCTCCATCTTTGCTCACTCCCTAGCTGTTGTGGCAAGGAAAGCTCAATGCATCCATAATACTCCCCTATGCCACATATCGTGCTCCCTACATACTTTTCATACTTTCTGTATGTCATCACTGACTGCCTAATTAACTCCTTTTTCATAACTATACAAGTTACAACTTTTCTAAGCTTTCATTATGGCTCTGTAGAGGAAAAGCTCTTCCTACTCACTGCAGCTCCTCAGCAGTTTGTAAGGTTGGGCTCTCTATCCAGCATTGTCACAACAGTGCACAAGTCAGCACTGATTTTTGCTTTCACAGCAAAAAAGGTTTTCATTTGTTTTTGACATATATATATATATATATATATATACATATATATACATATATTTATAGCTCATTGTGAATTTTTCCTGGAGAGCACAGTGGATGGTTTTCACAAGTGGGGGAGCAGCACATTCATGTGGTAGCATAACTGTGGGATGCCCTTATCCACTAGTGCTAACAAACTCTATTTTTGGTGACACATCAGCCGCAATTCTCCCCTCTCCCTGTAATGCATCCCACAGGATTCTACAGCAACACAGACATTTTCTTGTAAAATAAAAGCTTGTTCTCTTCTTAAACTAACGATTAGGCAGCATAAATTAAATCTATAGCCATGTATCTGGCATTCTATTTTACATTTTGTGTGTGCTTAAAAGTAGTACTGCAAATTAAGTAAGGAAAATAATGAAACTATGGAACCATTTTCTTCATTGGAAATGGGCAAGATTTGTGTGATATTGGAAATGAAAGAATGCTTTTACAAGAATATATCTATTTTGAAGTTAAATCCTTGAAATATGGATGGGGTACCCTACGAGACAGATATCTCTTAAAAATAAATCTTTTATTGCTTTTTATAGAGGTGGAAACTGTTCTATAGGACACAAAAGAAAAATGAGGAAAGGTAAGGGACTACAATTTATGTAGTTTTAGAAAGTAACCAGAGGGGGATAAGTGATAATTCTCTACAAAGAGATGATAAAAGACAGGAAGATTTATTCAAGGTTGCACAAGGATGTTTTATAAGCAGCTAATAGCCTTACACTGAAAATGGGGACACTAAGATTAGATATAATGAGAAACTTTCCAACAGAAAGATTTGACAGTGGAGCAGTCAAATAACCAAAAATGGTTATTGAAGCACAACTGTAAGAAGTGTTCGGGAAGAGATAAGATAAAACTCTCAAGGGAGAAGCTAGTACAGAGATTAGCTTGAAAAGTCCTAAATTACAGCCCTAGTAATGCTCTGGGGACTTGTGTTTTTAAAAATGTCATCGTGCATTGGTTCATGATCTCTTCTGAGGCACCGTCCTTACAGTTTTTATCTTCTTTCAAGCCTCTCCAACAGGAAAGGGCCTAAGTGTCTTTCTCTTGCTCACTTATATTGGGCAGAAGAGAAACAATATCTATTATATACCAGGAGAGCTAATTAGCAAACTCAAGATGAATGTATGGAGCGTTTAAATTACTTCATTGTTGCCAGGCCCAAGGAAATACCCGCTAGGCTATCTGACAGTGGGATTTGCTGATGACAGATGTTGCAAATACTGAGAATCCTGGTTCCAGATAGGCCACTCTTTCTTAGCTAGTAGAAGATGTAACTGCACCAACTTCTGGTGATTTATTTCCTAATTTGCTAAGTATCCTCTGATCCTGATTCTGTTGTTCTATGTGCTGCAGCAATAGCCCAAGCTGAAGTATTTACACTTGCTCTCTCTTGGGGTTGCTCTCTTCCAATGGGAACAGTTACTGTTAAAATAATGCTATGAAAAAGGAACTAAAACTGTTGCTGACCACATTTTTCTGCATTAATAGAAGGGTGAAAGTGACTGAATAACCTTTGCTCCTTTCTGGTCCAAGATAGTCCAAAAGCTTTTTAGAGCAGGGTTAACCTTGCTTTGGTTTATGGCTAAGTCACTCCGTGCTCAAGGAACAGTTCTCTTGGCTGGGAAGGAATCAACTTATGGGATGCCTTGTTATGTGGAGGGTGGGATCAAGGATCACAAGATAAAAGGCAGAGGAGAGTGAGGATGGTGGGACAGAATTAGGTTACATAGAAGGACATTAAAACAATTCTCCCAGCAAAGTGTATTTATATTGTCTGGTTATGGGTAGTTCAGAATTTCATAGATATTGTGATGATACTTAATTTATTAATTTATTATGTATTAATTAATAACTGTATTAATTTAAGTCTTAGACTGGATACTTTTCAACAATCTAAAACATAATCTTTACCAAGGAAATTTAAGCCTGGATTAGGTACATCTTCAGATTAGTGCAAGTGATTGTCTTCCAGCAAACAAAAATGAAGATGAAACCAGAGCTGGTTTTTCTGAGTTAGAACTGTACTGATTCTGAGGATAATTTTAACATTTTATTGAAGAAAAGATTCCTTTTGTTTAGATTTGCAAAAACTGTCTCAGAAGTTGAAGTCAGTGATACCAGGGTTCACTGAAAGTACTTTGACATAGATGCAAACCTACGTGTTGAGGAATAGGTAGGCTTCCTCTGAACACATATGATTTTTATATACAAAGCATCCCAAGCATTTTTGAAAAGCTGTTAAAATGCCAAAATCCAGGTCACACATAAAATGTTTATTTTGCAAACTTGTTTTATGATAAAATCTTTAATGCATAACCGCATTTTAAAGCCAAAACGCAACCCAGTTTACAGTTACATTTTGGTACAGAGCATTTTACTCTGTTCAGATTCTATCTTCATGTATCGATGTCTACAGGTATTCTAGCTTCATATTTTCGAAACAATAAAGAGAGATGGAAAGGTAGATGGATGCAATTAGAAGAAATGAAGGGGATAAATTTGTTTTATTTGATGTCCATACCTCTATGCCTCAGAACATAAGGTCACAACATTTTGTTTTGTTTAGCTTTGTTTTGTAACCATTTCAATAAATAAAATAAAGCCTTATTTTGGAGGGCTGCACTCCACAGAACTGGAGGGGCAGCTTTTGCTGGCCAATTAAGTGTTTAAGTTCAGAATAGTTTCTTTTTAAATAGTCTTGTCTGTGTCCAGCATGAGTAAAGAGCTTGCATTTGTTTTTTTGACAGAAGAGACACTTGATATTCTATGGGGACAGATAACTTCCCTTGTGGATCTTTTCTCATACTTGGTCTCTTGCAGGGCTCAGTTAATTTTGAAGCAATGCTATGTATTAAACCTCTACACAATTAATGTTGTCTCTATATATGACTTTACCACAACTGGCCCAATCCTAGCAAATGAATCATGTTAATTGTTTTGTCTTTATGTGGAGGGGGCTTTACTTCAGTAAACTTTTTTGTTTTTGTTTTTTCCTTTACAGATTCCAAGCATTTGTCTATTTTGCATCTGTCTTTCAAGCTATGTCATGTGGTATCCACTATTTAGCTTCTGTGTTCATGGCTGTTACTCCTAACTTTGTATGTGATATCCCTGGAAATGTGAGCAGGGTTCTCTCCTACAACTCCTCTGGATCAAGTATAGAGGATATCTGGACACTATGGACATCAACAGAAAATTACATTGTGGTCCAGCTGGAAAATGGAGAAACTTGGGAGCTTAAACAATGCAGCAAGTCCAAACGAGAAGACAGTTCAGATCTCACGTATGAATACAGGGGCAACAAGTCGGAATTTTCTTGTTCCGATGGATTTCTCTATGATCATACAAAATGGAAGAGCACTATTGTTACAGAGTGGGATCTGGTCTGTGACCAAGAATGGCTTGCAAAATTCATCCAGCCTACATTCATGCTTGGAGTCTTGATTGGAGCAGTGATTTTTGGTGATATTGCTGACAGGTAAAATGCCATCTGTAATTTGTAGCTTCAGACCTCAGTAACTCAATGTGTATCTATCAGTTTTGTTGTTTGCTGATTATATATGAACTCAGGGGGTTCTGATGTCTTTTTATTCACAGAAGTGTTTAACTCAACTTCTTTGTCTTGTAGCAAGCACTAATTTTACAACATTTTTGTAAATAATTTGCCTTTAGAATTCATTTGCTAATCTAGTCAGCTGTTTTTCTAGGCCTTGAGTTGTAGATTGCCCATAGATTATTTTTTCTTTCCTACAAGAATAGCAATGGTAAGTAGTAATACCAATAGTAAGAGCTGGGAAGAGGTTTTCCCCTTATTTTTCATGAGTCAGAGAAATTCTTCCTGGAAATGTAAATGTTTATTTCTGGGTATAATAAATAGTTAAAGGTTAAAACTCGTTTATTTTTAAATCACTGATTTCCTAGTCTCTGTCATGAATACAGCTCTGTGGGACTGATGCAAAACCTCTGAGAGTTTGATCAAGCCCTGTGTTCTTAAAGTAAACACCCAAATATTGCCTTTCCTTATCAGTGTTGCAATCCAGTTGTAGTTTTTCCCTGAATGACTAGTTTAACTTCAGGTTAAGCCAGATGGGAAGAAAAATGGTTATGAGGGAGATTTGCTGTAATTTCATTTATGACCAGCATGTACAAAGGTCTCGTTGAGCATAGGGGGACCTCTGCTCACGGTGCCAAGGGTTTTTGTCAGTTTGCCCCCCCTCCAATGCTCTTCCTTGAGTGTTTTCTCAGGTGAGACAAGGAGCCACCCAGATTAGATCCAAATTCTAAACTATGTTGTATTTGGCTTTGTCTGAGGCAGTTTGTCCACTTTTATTTTCATGTAAAAACTGCTTTAACTTCTTTCTATAAGAGATCTTTTAGACTAACAGCTCTGTTACATGGAGGATGAAATCCTGTTCCAGGATATTGCTAACAGTATGAGCAGAAAAAAAATAGACCACTCGCATTGTTTTCTTGTTTTCCTTCATTAGCACAAAGCTTCAGTGTTGCAGTGCAAAAACACTTTTTTTTTGCTTTAGTTTGTATTTTAGACTACATGGAATCCATCCTTTCTCCTGCTCCAAGACTTTGTAAATGTATTTAATACAAAACCAGAATTAATGCCAACATTTGTTCTGTGTCTCTTTAAATCAGTCATAGCTTTATTAATTAATAGTCAGACATGACTTACAAGATGGTGATCACGTTGTTCTCATTTTCATTAATTCAAACTATGGACAGCCAGTTAAGATAATACACGCATTCTGAATTGCAGATTTGCAACCATGGGTTTTACAGCTGAAAGTTATTATTTTCTGACAGATCCTGGCTGGTGGGAAATAAGTTTGTGGGTTCCTCCCATTGCCATTTAACAGATTTTCCAGCAGAAGAGGCCCGACAGCTGGGACCCACTGGGATCACTTCTGGCAATCCTGGCCGGAGGTAGCAACCAAATGTGCATGACAACTCCTTCCACAGAGATCCTTCAGCTCAGGGTCAGAGGAAAATGGGAGAGAGCTGGAAAGATGTTGTTGTTCAGGCTCTCTCTCCTATTTACAACCTCACTTTCCAGAACTGTTTTAGTGCAGTACTAAGCACTCACAGAGAAAGAACAGACAAACACCCTCCCAGCCCTGGAAGTTTCCACGTTCTCCACCCAAACAGAAGAGTCATATCTGTGAAAAGAAGTTCAAAGTGGAGTAGATAATAAGTAGATATTATCACGGAGGGAATAAAAATGATTCAGGGTATTTAGTATTACAGAACATTTGTAGACAAAATAGAGTATAATGAATCTGTCAGTAGAGTATCATGCATCTATGGCATAGTATTGTATATCTAGGCTTTCTCCTCAGTTGAGTTTGTTGTTGATGCCATTGGCTCACTTGTTTAGGTACAGCTAGCTGTGCTTGGTATACATGCTTTCTCTCTGAGGTATGGGAAGAGGACAGAGATATAGGTTCCTGTTTACCAAATGTCCCTCTTTTATAGGGAAAACTACTAAATACATTTTTGATAGGAAATTAATGTTTGGCATAATTTTATTTGCTGCTAGTATCCTAATTCACTGGATGTCTATGTTTGTACAAGTATGCCATAAAGTTGTCATTGATTCAAGGATTTAACTTAAATTAGTTGAACAGAGATCCATTACAGAGGCCTCACTTTACTATCCAACTTGTTTTTTGCTTTTGGCAAGATCTAGCTTGTGCTACTACAACTAACTTGCATTAGAACTTACTGAGTAGACATGGCTTAATATGAAATGTCTGAAAAAGCGAGTCTTACCTACTCAGACAGAATAAATAAGCAAATTTGTTATGTGGAAGTTAAATTTCAGGCAGGAAACGACCATATGTAATGCCCATTTCTACCTTTTTCTTCCTGCCAAAATTTTGGAGTGGAAGTTTCTCCCGTAAGTGTTTTCTCTTCCTTGAGTTTAGCTAGATTTACTGCAAATTTAATAGTTTTCTTTCTCACATGGTAAACAAAATAGAGGAAACTAACTAGGATTTCTGTGATGAGTCAGAGCACTAAGTACAGTATCTTCAGACTTACTTCCAGTTGAGCTCTCTGGAGTTGCAGTTATGTTTTAATAGGATGTTTATGGTTATTCATGACTTTATTATTGCTGTGATTTGCAGGATGGGAAGACGGCGTGTTATTTGGTTCGCAAGTGCTGGCCAGTTTGTATTTGGTGTTGCAGTAGCATTCACATTTGACTACTACAGTTTTGTGGTTGTGCGCTTTCTCCTTGCTATGGTAAGAAGGCATGTTCACCCTGCCTCTTTTATGTGTCATTTCCTACCACTCCTCAGGAAAACCTCCCTTTTTTCCCCTCTTTTCTCCCCTACTTCATTATTCTAAAGCCCATCTGTTGCACTTATTTCAGCAGAGCAGGGAGAGTCTGAATATTCTTGGATCAGCCACATTTTCCTTCTTTGAATTAATAGAAAGCATCTGTATGAAGCAGTGTTTGGTGCTTCCTCTATCCCAACCTCTGCTGGACTGGTAATTAAATAGCAGGTGTGAGCAGCAAACTCTGGTTTTAGCATTGCAGCTGACATTAGAAGTGGACTATATTTTTCTTAAAATAACAAATCTATAATGAGTATGATTTTATCTCTACCATTTTCAGTGATGGAGGAGAGATGCACTTCTCTCATACATCTCTTTGGTCTTTTAAACTACATTTGAAATGCTAAGTATATAGGTAGACATGTTTAACACTTACATGTTTATGCTATACTTAAGAGTATTCCAATATGTGTGTGTATATATATGTGTGTGTGTGTCTATATATTTATGTATGTATTTAGTGACAAAATGTAAATTACAAATTTATATCCAAAGTTATAATGCTTGTAGTCTTCCATTATATAATGCATTGAGATATTAGAAAGCTATCACAAGACAAATAATATGTTGTATAAAGTAGTCAAGAAAATCGAAAATAATTGCATCATTTATTTTATTCCTGATGACAGTGCTTTAGTCAAGAGAGGACCTTGGATCTGGACTTCCCTTTGCCTGACTATTGCTCAGGAGAATTTCTGATGGGGTGGGGAAAAACCACACAGGAGTTTGGCCTTGAACAGTGAGATCAACAGAAGTCCCTCTACTGAGTGCCCTGGCTGTTGATGATAAGGGCTATAGCAGTTTATAAAAGCAAAAAGCTCCACCCGGACAGATGCTGTTTCTTTTCCCTGTCTACCAGGATGGATTTGCAAGCTGGAGGTCCAAGGTCCCAGCCTCTGCCACTGAGATGAGCCACAGCTTGCCAAGCAGTTTCTGTGGGTTTTTTTTTGCTATATGTGTAACCAGAAAAATGACTGATCAAAATAATTCACTGGAATATTTTCTAAGTTAGGTTTTCTGACTGTGTTAGTGTTCTGAGATGACAAGAGATTAGAATGTTTCTAGAGAAATTGAAATATATATTTTCAATGAAGAAATGCTTTAATGAAAACCACACATGTAATTACATTCTGTTAGTATGGCCAGATAGCATATGAAAATCTACAACAGTTTTCCTATAACCCATAAATCAGATTCTCTTCCAGCATTGTAAGAGGATGAATTAATGAGACATTTATGAGGGTATGGAAGCTAATTCGCAGTAAATTTGCAGATCCCTGATGTGTGGGTTACCAATAGTCTACTTAAAAAACAAGGTCAAGTAGTGGCTCTTATTTTGCTGCACCTTATTTTTTTTAAGTGTCTAGTTTGTGATGCCATTAATGGACCTGACTTGCAAGGGTGAAAGGCTTAGTGACATGAGCAAGCAAGGCTCAAATTTCTCAGGTTTCTCTTGATAGTGCTTCCCCCCTCAGTAATGTGAGGCTTCCAAAATCCTGCCGCGTTTTTGAATACCACTCCATTATTCTGAAGGTTTGAGTGAGTTTTTTTCTCCAGTTGCTTTGTTCTCAAGACTGCCTTTTTTTCCTCTCAGTTAAACGTACACAGCTCGGGAACACCGTTAGCTCTTTGGTTTTACTGCTGTTGCACAGGGAGATAGGCACCAACCTCACACTTACTTTTCTCTCTCTCTTTCCCCCCCAGGTTTCAAGTGGCTATCTGGTTGTGGCTTTTGTTTATGTGACTGAATTTGTTGGCACTAAAGCTCGAACCTGGGCTTCTATGCATGTCCATGCTTTTTTTGCTGTGGGCGTGATGGTTGTGGCACTCATGGGATTTTTGGTTCGGACCTGGTGGGTCTATCAGATATTTCTCTCCATAACAACTCTTCCCTTTGTCTTGTGCTGCTGGATGCTCCCAGAAACACCTTTTTGGCTACTGTCAGAGGCAAGATACGAAGATGCACAAAAAGTAATTGATATAATGGCAAGATGGAACAAAGTAAGCACTCCTTGTAAGATCTCTGAACTCTGCTCAGTCCAACAAGACCATCTAGGCAGTGACAGAACGGGTGATAATGATGTATCTTCCATGAAGAAGCACAACATCCTAGATCTGTTTTGTAATTGGCCCATTGCAAGAAGGACCGTTACAGTCTGGCTGGTCTGGTTCACTGGGAGTTTAGGATACTACGTGTTCTCCCTGAGTTCGGTCAATCTAGGAGGCAATGAGTATTTAAATCTCTTTCTCATAGGTAATTATTCCCTTGTACTTTGCTTATGACAGAACTGTAATGTGTAATTTAAAAGTATCTAGTAATCTGAGAGCTGATTATCTGGCTTATTCATTCTACTATAAACCTTTCTCAAAAATGTTCATGATAATCCTTTAGAAAGTTGACTAACACCAAAGGGAATCCATTCACTTGAAATCTCACCATTTCTGGAAAGAAAAAATATTTTTTGAGGTACAAAATTCTTCTGTCTGGCTTTGTAAAAACATTTTGGTTGTAAAACCAAATCTATTTTTGTCCTCTTTGCTGTGTAAGTGTACAGCAGAGTCACACAAAAAACAAAGGAAACTGGATCAGCAACACAAATTCATGTAGCTCCATTAAATGCACAGACTGTGAAGAAGGCAGTAAAGATTATTCCTGTAAATTCTTACAGTCCTGACAGTATTAAGTCCATCTATACTGATAATAGATGCACTCTGTTTTCAGAAGCTAGAGTAATTTTAGTTTTCTCAGCTTTTATTTATTTTTTAATTCCGTTTCTATATTCTTCTAATTTTGCCTGCCTAACTGTGATCTTCCTCTGGTATCTAAGTTGTTTATGAAGGCTGCTCATGAATTCAAGACCTGATCCAAAGTTTGTTAAGATCAGTGGAGATATTCCATTGGCTTCAGAGGAATCCAGATCAGGCACGTAGCTCTGAGCCAGCAAAGAATTAAATCGTGAATGTTGCTTAATGCATCTGAGAGCTCGGAGTGAAGCAGACGTGACTGTTCATGTATGTAAGCACACTGCAGGACTGGGACGCTCACGAATTCAGTTTGTGCAGTTGTGATAACATCCATTTCATCTTATAGCGCACTGGTAGACTGACTGTTGTGTTGCAGAATAGGTGCTAGTGTTGCCCCTTTAACTACAGTGGGATGATAGGAGCATGTTACAGAAATCCCTTTATCTGCCTGTTTCAAAAATATTCCAGGAGACTCCTAACATTAAGCTGAATAACCACAGCCTGCTTAGATCAACACAAAGCCAGAACCAGAAGACTGTTTCCCATTATTATAAGTGTACTGACATACTATATGTGCTTAGAAAAGGCATGCAGTATATTTGTTCGAGGTTGTACCTTATGTTCTTCCTTGATTTTGCACTGGACATAATCATTCTGTATGAGCAAGCTGGTTTAAACATGTCCAAACTGGCTTAAGCGTAGTATAATTTTTCCAGGAGCAAATCATGTTTGAACAAGGTATGTGAACAGTTGCAGCCAAACTCCAGTTCCAGCAGGGTTGCAGAAGTTTTCTCTGGAAAGAGACATGAGAAATTGGGGGTGACAGTGAGATGTCGTAAGCAGCTACCCTCTTTTATTATGAGGAAGAGAGAAAGATTAAGCTGTTGGTGTGAAAAGACCTAGAGCAAAAGAACGGCAAATGGATGCTTCCAGGCACAAATATCAGTGCTGGGAGAGCAGGGCTAAGGCCTTGCTGTTTTCTGTAATTTCCCAACCATTTCCATGCTTCATTCCCACCACAAATTGATCTGGAGCTTCTTTATGCTGTAAAACCTGGTTCCCTTGTCCCGTCTTCACCCGCCACATTTTAGGGCATGATTTTTACTTCCTGTTGCCATTTTTTGCAATGAACTGAACAAGCCCAACACACTGGTTGTCTCCAGATTTCACCTACTTATTACATTTAAAAACAGTCTAACCCCTAGATTAACTGAATCCTCACAAAGAGGAAGTCAGAGTTATTGCGAGAGTCTGTCGCCATGGGTTAAAACCAAATTAATTTCATGACAGGTGCTGTGGAGTTGCCTTCCTATGTCATTGCTTGCATTGGGATGGACAAACTGGGAAGGAGAAACACACTCATTCCATTCCTTTTGTCAAGTGCACTGATTTGTGTTTTAATTATGTTCATACCTCAGGTTAGTCACATAACATTTAACGTGTTCCTAATGTAGAAATAATTTTTTGGAATCTGAGGTCTGTAAATGTGATTGTTCTTTCTAAATCATGTAGCTGATTAAATGTCTCCTTTAAAACACAGCTGTCATCTAAGATAGTTTTCTAAATATTTACACTAGAGATTTTGCACTATTATCACGGGAATCACAGGTAAAATGTTCTGAGGGCTTGAATGAACCAAGACTGGTAAAAAGTTTATATATAAGCAAAACAATAAATATTACTTATTGTTTAAAAAATCACAGCTTTTGAAGGTTGTCAATTAGGTTTGATATACTAACATTTTCTGATAATTTGTTTGTGCTCTCTTTTATTAGGATTTCAATATATTAATCATCTTAGCAAATATGGCTGGAAAGTTCTCAATAGGAGTGGCATTTGGCCTTATTTATCTCTACACAGCTGAACTGTATCCAACAATTGTAAGGTAAGAGCTTTCACCAGCTATGTATTTTTCATTGCTTTTCTCTTATTTCATTTCCTCTGTTATGTTCTTGGTCCAGATCCAGCTCCTCTTGGCATTAATGGCAGTAGTCCAACAGCTTTGGGTTGAGATGAGTTTCTGGAGTTGTCTGATATTTGACTATAAAATACATTTTTATTTATTTTTCATTTCCATGTGCATTGATTGGTTTCACTGAGGGACCAGAAGAATGCTCAATACTTTCTTAAACATGGCTTATGCCTTTGTTAACATTCCTGGTTATACAGCCTGCAATCTATATGGAATGATGGTTGAATATAATCTTAGTTATGAGAGCAGTTTAATTTCACTACAGTAGAAATTTATATTGTGTAGCATTATTTAATAGTACAAGTGCAGAAAGACATGTATCATCCTACTAGTATTGTAGGTGTCCATGCATTTCTGTTTGCTCTGTTTACCAGAATTCTTATTAAATTCTTTGTTTCATGTGTAGGTCACTTGCTGTTGGAAGTGGGAGCATGATGTGCCGTGTAGGAAGTGTAGTTGCTCCTTTCTGTGTATATCTAAGAAGCGTCTGGATTTTCATGCCACTTGTAAGTGTTTATTTCAATGGCGAATGCTTCTCATTTTGAAAAGGAGTCTGTATCACTCATTTTTTTCAGGAACTGGAAGTCAAAGAACCTTTATTTTGAAAAGCAAATTGAATGAATCATTCTTGTTGTAAATGTTAAGTCTCAGAGTTCATGAGACTTAAAGCATTTTAAGAATTTAAGAATAAGCAGATAAGCTAAAGAGATATTTTGAGTCAGTAAAATCTTCTCTGAAGTTGTTATGACTGAAGACATAAATGTTGTTATGCACTGAATCCTAGTATAAAATTGATAACATTCTTTTCTACAAAAACATCTTATCAATCATATAACATTTATGACATAACACAGTTCATACTTATTCAGCAGACCTAGCAGTTCTTGGCCATGCTCCTACCCTTTTGTCAAAAGGGCAATTTTTTCCAGTCTTGGAATTCAACATGGATGGCTCCCAGACTTTTCTTAATATTATGTTTAATCTTTTCCATGGTTTCCGTGAGACACTGCATCTTTGGAATAGCCTTCCAAAAGATGGAGAATTTCATATATTTACTATATCTGGTCTTCAAAACTGTCCCAAAACACCTTTTCTTTTTTTCTTTTCATTTTTCATTTACATCAACCAAAATGTAGTCCATGAAGAAAAACCTTGTCCTATATAGTATTTCATGAATGCCACTACCTAAGGCCAGAGCATTCTGCCCTGTGAAAGCCTAAAAAGTATCAAGCTGGAAACAACCAAGAAAAGAGGCAGCAGACGTGCTTAAGAGTCAACACTATTAACAGCCAGCGTATAACCACTCAAGAAACAACTCAAGAGATACAAGAGAAGAAAATGATGTATTGGTGAATTTAAGGGAGACGCTGATGGGCAACAGAGTTGGATTCATTAAGGAGGTCCAGCTTGTAGGTGACTCCAGGTCATGCTACCATTTGCACAACAGGCTGATCGTGGGGGCACATTCTCTTTCTTGCGTCAGTGTTTTGCCTTTACTAGCTGAGATAAGGTTTATCAGTGCAGTTAAACCACAGATGGTGGAAATGTGGAAAAGTTTAGGAGGGCAGTGCCAATGGCAGTAAAAAGGAGAGGAACTATTTCAAATACGAACAACTCAGTGTAGAAAAAGTATTCAAAGTATCTCTCTGTGGAGTTGTGTAGCAGTTAACTGTGAATATGTTTTCATTATTAGCTCCTACTACAAAGCATTTATCAGTTTATTAAATAGACGAGTCTTTGGTTGGAGCATAGCGTGCCAAGTCTGAGCTAACAAACAGAAGTGTTTTGGAAGGAAAGTGAAATGAAATGGATTACATTTTGAAGTAAACTGATATACCTCATTTTGATCTATTGTACACACCACACATTATCAAGCAGTTAATACTGCGATTTGTTTGACAGTCTGCCTCTCTTACAGCTCTGCCACCTGGGAGTTTGCAAGATATTATACCAAATGTCTGTAAATCTTGAATAAATTGCCAAATACAGTGTTCGTGTGACAACCTTCTAGTGAACTTATAGCAAAACAAATGCTCTACGTATACTCTATTTGTTTTTCTCATCTATTAAACATTATGTTACATTAGCCCTTCGACAAGCTTCATTTCTCTCTTAGATAAACCATAAAGTACAAAAAAAGAGTCCATGAAGGTCAGTAAAGTTAAATATGTGCAAATTCTATGTCTAATACTACTGAATTTGCAGGACAAAATTTAATCTTTTTTTTTTCTTTTAATGAAGTGGGGATTTTGTAAATAAGATCATTTCTTTAAGGTTGGATTTGAGCCAACAGATACGGACATACATTTTATCAGCAGAACAGAATAATTGCTGGTTCTTCAAAGTAAGAAGTATTATTTTTAAAGGATATTTAATGCAAATTATCATTGTTCTAGATGGGGTATTAAATCCAGGCCTTTAGACCAGTTTGAAATTAAAACTGCTTCTTCAGGTAGGGAAGGAAGGCGCAAGAAAAATGGTGATAAATCTGTTCGAAGTTATTTATGGTAGCAGTTAGAAGCTGCTGGATATATGGGAATGTTGGAAATACTTTGAGAGTTTGACCTTCCAGAAAGTCTGATTTAAATTAACACCCTGAAAAAGCAAAGAATTTAAACAAGTACTGTCATCCCAGTAACTTTAACAGAGCTCAAATATAATTAAATAGCTTAGAGAATAATGTACTTTAATCCATAACCTTTTATCTAATTGATTGCACATGAAGGACATTTTCTGTTGAGTTATAAGCAAAATATTACATGCGTACACAGTGTATGTGTTTGCTAAATTAGGTCAGATACCTTTGATTGAATGTGAGTGACTTCATTGATGTGTGGGTTGTGTCCCTGAAAACGTAGGGGACATTTGAAAAGTCCTGTCATTAACATACTGTGACTTAATTTCTTTCATATTCTCTCTTTTTGTAGGAAGTACTGGCAAATGCTTTGTAGAGTCAGGGAGATTAAATTAATTAGCAGTTTGGGTGCAGCAGCCTTTTCACACTGAAAAAGGAAGCTAACGCTTGGTGATGGAATAGAGAGAGGCAGGATTAGAAGGCAGGAAAGATGGTGATGACTATGCTTATGGAACAGGGACAGTTAGTGGGGAATAAGGGGGAGCCTCATGAGGAAGGAAAGCCTGGAAAGAATAGAAAGTGTCTGAGAGACTAACTGGAACAGAAAAGACACACACATTCAACACGCAATGTTGCTTTAACCTTGTTCTGCTGGGCATCAGTAGTGACCCTGTTCTCATATACAACAAATATATGGCTAACTAAGGAAATGAGTAATGTGTGGACTTCAGTATCCTTCAGTAATCCTCAGTGCTCTTAAATAGGAACTTATGACAGCTAACATCATATTACTGTACAGCTTGTCTTATCATGGCAGAAAAATCATGTTTCAGTCATGGAGAGAGTTTTGCCACTCAGAAGTAAGAGCTGAATATCTCCAAATACATTTTTAAATATCCTTTCCGCCATGTATATATATATATATATGTATGTCTGCAATGTGTCAGTTTGTCACTCAGTAATATTTTCACTGATCCTCTTTCTGCCATTTTTCTGGTAATTGCTCATGATAGGATCATGACTGTTTTATTTTCATTTTAAATTGCAGTGTTCAACAGTATTTTGCTTAATTTTTTATTTTGCCGGCTTCTATATTCAATCTAAGTTCAAAAAAAAATAAATGTGTGCACCAGTGTGAATTTTGCTTCTCAGAAGACTGCTTGAGACAAGCTGACATCTTAACTCAGAGGGAAGCAAAGGCAGCAAAGTATATTTACATGGAAAAGCTCTTTCAGGGTTACTATGGAGAATTCCAATTTTAAAGCTCTTTTCTGACTGAAAGAGCTATTCTCACTCAGAAGCAGGTGATAGCTGGATGTTACTTGTCTCCAGCTCTGAGAGATCTAGACACAGTAATTCCCAATGTTCTCTCACATTCAGAAAGGAAGAATTAAATAAATGGGGCAGACCTTAGAATCACCACAGGGCAAAGGAAGGATGATACACTAGCACAGTACGTAGGAAAACCCTCTGCCCAGGCATGATGTAGTGTATGCAAGCATGAGTTTTTTTTAACAGTCTAAGGATGGAAGAAAGTTGGGGTTTAATGTTCCATATTTGGATGAAGTGTGAAATGTGCTTACTAAACAAGGCACAGAAATGAAGGAAAAGAAGAGATTCTCAGGCAGAATCATTGCTCCTTGCACTATATTGAAATGCAGAGCAAAACACTTCATTTGCTCTTCATTAACTTTGCTGTGTAATCTTTCATCTGTACTCACAGAGGCAGATCTGTTATACAGTCAACATTTAAGACTTTGCTTTACATTGCACTTTCCTGCTCTTTAAGTGCACTATCAAGCAAGATCAAAGATTTGCATGACTTGAAAGACATTTCTACTCTTACAGCTACTGTTCATTTCTTCTAGTTGCTTGTTGGAATCATGGCTCTTCTGAGTGGAATATTAACAATAATGCTTCCAGAAACTCTTGGAAAACCATTGACTAATACGTTGATGGAAGCTACAGAGTTGGGAAGAAACAAGGAAAACTGTTCAGGGGAGACTCCTCCAGAAAAGATAGAGATGTTTGGTCAAGAAACAGCCAACACTGAGAAATAAAGCAACAGCAAAATGTCCTTTCCTGATTTTCATAACTATATAATTCTTAAGGTCATTTTAGTCAAGAAATGTGACTATAGTACAATGTCTGTGCCTTTTAATCTGTATCCAGCCTTTGGTTTTCAATAGAGCAAGTATACAAAGCCTTTTCCACATGACTCAGGTACTGTAGAAATTTTGATGGGATTTCACATGCTCTAGGTGACCCTGTGAGTGCAGGGGGGTTGGACTAGATGATCTCTAGTTGTCCTTTCCAACCTTAACGATTCTATGATTCTATGATTTCTAGATCCTCTGTCAGAAGAAGAAACTCTCTCAGAATTTTAGCAAACGTATCATCTGACTTGTTGTGACCAGTTGGAATGTGTACTCTAAATTTTGAAAGCCTCCTGATTATACATACATACACAAATATTTCAATTCTTTACTTCAGATTCTTTGCAGTTACATCTGTAAATGCAACACAAAATGCTCCATCCATCCTTGTCTTATTGCAATGGACAATTCCAGGATTCAGACTTCAGACCATAGTAAACTCAAACACATCATTATAATTTGATAGAGAAGACTTAATAGTGGATCAAGTCATACCAATAATTTAAAAGTTAAGCCAACCTATTCAATTTATTTTTCAAATTTACTACTGGAAAAGTTGCCATTGCTGGCAACAAAAATTATTCTGTAGAACAGCTTCTGACTGAAACAGTAATCTTACATTTGCAGAATGTGCAAATAGTTTGTATACTATTCATTCTGTTGAATGTCAAATGTATTTTTCTTAGTGGTTTAGAAAAAAAAATATCCACTGGATCTGTTGTTGCCTTAGTAAATTCTTTTTAGTTTAGGCAACATCTGATGCCTTTGAAAATTGTATTCATTCCAGACTGTTATTTCAGTGCACTCTTCTCACTTATTTCAGCTCAGATATAGCATCAGATTCTTCATAACTTTTAAGAATTACACCTGCAACAAGGCCTAGCCCTGTCCTCAGTGAAGTAGAATAAGTGGCACCTAGGTCTTACTCAGGCTTTCTACACAGAGGTGCCTACACAGTGTTATTTGTCACAAGCCAGTTCTCCATAGCTCCATTTTTTCCCTCATACTATACAAAATCAGATACAAATTAGAAATAGAAAATATGACAGATGGAAGAAACCAGTCAACAGACAGGCTTATTACCAGCTCCAGAGAGTTTTAGTCTAAGTGTCTATTGTCACACCTCATGTGTGTATCAATCCTTACCTGCTGGTACAGCAATTGTGTCTGGTGACTGTGGACCATAGCACCATAGGAAAAGAACATAGCTCTGAATGCATTTATTCCAGCTGCTGCTTTTGTAGCTTCTTGTCACAGCTCTCCTTTTCCAGTGTGCCTCCAGACCCAGGTGTTTCTTCCCCTCCTGTATCCTCAATGCTCCATTAACCCTGAGTTGAGGCAGGAAGCCCTCAACTGTGTATGTGTGGGTTGAGGGAGCCGAGGCTGGGTGAACTCCATTATCCCTAGACTGAAATCGTGATTTTTCTTGTGCTAGATAATTTCTCTCAAGCTAGCTGGTACGACCTCATCTAAATAAGTCTTACCTTTTTTACTTCTTGGCCCTGTACCCTGAAATAAATAATCTAAATTACCATAACTAAATATTCTATATGTGTATTAGTCACTGTTCATGTTTTTTTCTTGTACATCTGTGCAGTCATATTAGTTTCAATGATTTCTAAAAACAGAATTTGTTCTATATCCGTTTGAAAAGGAAAATAGAGATTTTCTGTTCAACCACTGCATGGTCCTGGATTACCAAGTAGCATTTCGTTCTTAGGACAAGCTCAAAACTTATGTTTCAAAGCCAAACAAAAATCAACAAGTTTAAATTTAGACAGTTTCTATTTGATAATTCCATGTAAAGCCAAATCTTTATTCTCCCTTGAGTTATGTGGGTGCTTCAATATTTACAGAGGAAACCTCAGAAGAAAATTGTTTGGATTATTATGGCTTCTGTCCAGGTATACTAATTCAGCAAAAGCAAGTGCCTAACCTTAGCTATGTGAGTAGTCCCATCAATATGCAGAGGGGCGCTTCAGTACGTACTTTGATGACTAAAGATGGAATTACTCACGTGCTCTCACTTTCTATTTTGCTGCAGAGCAGCCCTAGGATTCTTCCACTGCCCTTCCCCTGCATTCCCCAGGGCAGAGCAGCTGTCCTTATCTGCAGCATCTGCTTCCCAGCCCTGCACTCCTGGCCTTTAACCAGGGCTTACCAGGGTTGCAAAGGAATGGGCCTTGCAGAAGGGCTGGCTCTCTGGCATTACAACCATGCTCCCCCACAAAGCTCTGAGTAGTCGCATGATCTGCGCATAGTAGTCGCATAATCTGAGGTTACTTCACACTGATACTACTTCTTTTTTAGCATATGGTCCTATCTAAAACACCTTCATCCTGAGGGCTGAGGACAGTTCTCAGCTTCCTTCCCGGAGTACAGAAAATTTATTTTGGGGATTATCCCTCTGTGAACAGTTGATGTACATTATGTATTACTTGGACTTGAGTGATTCAAGACCAGGTCTATTGTAATCAGGATATGTAAAGTAATGAAAGAAAAAAAAAAGAGAGAAAAGAAAAAGGCAAACACCTAAATACACAAGGATATGTGAGTAATCCTTATAGGCTACAATTTTCTAATAATAATTCTGACCCAAAATGTAGCTTGTTGGTTTTTAACCCTTTAAATCTACTCCTCTTGTCACTGAAGTCAGTTGGTATTTGGTCTGTGATTCAAGTGAGAGTTGGATTTTCTCTGGGCTAATGAGATGTCACTTTTTTTTCTCCTGGAAGTTGTCCTACAGCTGCACCTTTTGAGATTAAATGCTTGGGCAGCTTTGAAGATGCCCTGGGCTACCCTATTCTTTTAGGCGAAGGAATTTATTACTGTAAAAAGGAAATGCCATGTGTATATGTGTCTGTAGCATTTCTGTTTGCTTGGTTTTTCTATGCTGCCAAAAATATGTTTAACACTACTACTATGTTATAAATGTACTGTAGGAAGTGTAAGTTGATTCCTTTCTTTTACATATGACTAATTCATCAGATTCCTCTTGAAAGAGGACACTGAGTTTCTGAGAAAATGCTTCTTTTCTATGGAGCATATTTTCTGCTCATTGCTCATTAAAACAAATTCTTTTTCAGAGTTTCTCATTTGCATCCTTTTTGTTTGTTTGTTCTTGTCATCTCTTTCCTAGTGCAAATTTGTTAGGCTGATCAATAACTCTGGACAAATAATGGTTTGATAAGATACTGGATTTGAATTCTGACCTGCCTTAATTGTTGGTTATTGTTACATTACTGCTGCATTGACAAATGTTTTTGTCTTAATTTGATATCATATTTTATTAATCATATTTTATTTGTCATGAGCCCACTTTCTGGGTTAAGTAATGGGAATGAGAGCAATTGTTATTGCCTTAATGCTGACTAAAGTAAAAATAGTAAATACATATATTTGGTATTTTGAATCTACTGTATTTTAAAATTATGCTAAAAGGCACATTTTTCTACTTTGATGTCCCATTTTGGTTTCTTTGTTAAAATCTTTATAGTTTAATGAGCTGTGTTGAAAAACCAGCTCTGCAAATTGCGTGCACTGTGTCAGATGCACTGGGCTGTACTGAATGCCTCAACGAAGCAGGGGATGGTGCCTGCAGACTGGGAGGTTTTATGCTCTGTGGAAACTAGAGATGGTCCCAGGCAGGGGCTAAAAGGGATGGAGAATGCCCTGCATCTTCCTGTATCTTTTGCAGCTTATTGCTACCTGCTCTTAACAGGCAGCGCTTAGAGCTGCAACACATGCTTGCAGAATGCAGGGTGTAGGTGGCTGTGAAATGAAGGGTTTGGATTCACCCAGTTCCCTTGTTCAATGGACCTTTAGGATGGTCATCTAAATCCCACAACACATTCAGACAGGGGAAGGTAAGGGCACATTTAAAAAAATGATTATGAGCACAGATGAAAGAACAAGCTTATGTTATCAAGGAAAGTTGCAGTGAAGCAGCGTCTGCCGTTCCCCATGTCTCATGAAGAAAAGTTAGAGCACTTCTCCATAACCCAAGTATTTTGTGCAAGCTTCTGTACCGAGTGAGATGTGGATTTTAGTAACCTGAAGGGGAGGTATGTACTCTAAGGAAGGGCTTCGTCTGTCCAGAATATGTGCATTTAATATAATATAAGATAATAATGGATTTTTTAATATTGTGTTTTTATTACGTGCAATTACATTTGAGGGTAAGGTCAAATACTTAATTTATTTAACGTTATTCAATTCTTACACCTTCATTTAATGAACTCCTACAGTTACCCAGTCCCTGTTCGGTGTATGCTCATTGGTAGGGGCTGGGCAGGCACCAGTATCCCCATCTGCAGGGCAGCCTATCTTCAACTCTGCAGGTAACCAGAGTGAAAGGTCTTGTTATGTGACATAGTAAGTAGAAGATGAAAAACGCTAAGAACAAATCCTGTTCTGAAAGCCTGTTCAAATACTTGTTTGCTAAAGGTCAGAAATTTGAATAATCTCTGATGATAATTTCAAGAGCACTGGATCAATCAAGCTGAGAAAAATCAAGCCTAAAAAAACTCACATCCTTTTCTTAATGATTGATGTATTAATATGATTGCAACATGTGTGTGCACAAAAACAGCTATTTCAAAGAAATAACTTTTTCTTTTAAAAATGCAAGGATTAAAATTAATCAGAAATAATGAGAAATTTAATGACAAGCCAGTACTTCTCTGCATGCCTAACACCCAGCCTTGGGTGATGGCCAGGGCCCTGTTGCAGATAAGTAGGATCCAACCCATGGGTTATTCACAGGCATCCTTTTATTAGTGTTGCCTCATAATGTTTCGCATACAGAAGAACTGGTTTGCACAGCACTAAGAAAAAACTTAGCACCGAGGGACAGTTTGGGTGCAGGTTCTCTGTACGGTCTCATTGCCGCTGCTGAGATTGAAAGCAGTTTTGACTGAATTGATCATTATCACAGCAAAAGAATCAGGGATAAATGGTTAACCTCTGAGTAAATATTTTAACAAAGCTTTTCAATAGGCAGTATCTTGCTCTGTATTGAGAGAATTCCCACAGGAGTCAATCAGTACCACGGGAAAACAGCAAAATGAGGAGCAAGGCAGCCTCTCTGCTATAATGATAATTTGTCATGGACAGTGATCTTGGAACTGGTTAAAGAAGAAGTGATGTCCATGTTATACATAAGATCAGAACCAAGTTCATACCATTGTCTTCATATAAGTTGTTTCTTGTTACTATTGCTCTTTGCAAAAGCATACAGAAAGAAAAGGGAGTCCTAAGTTAAAAGCGCCTTTCTGAGGCACTGCCCAGGCTGGGTTTGGTGGTGTGCTGAGCTCCAAATGCTGTCAGTGCTGGGTGTGATTTATGCCAGAAACCTGTCTATCTCTTCCTGCACGGCCAGTCCATGAGTTGCACTTAGTCAAAAGATACAACAGCCACTATCGCAGGGCTGGACAGCGGCACTCTTGAGATATAAATAGAGGGAATGTTGCCCTTGGGGGATTATTTACCTAATTATTTTCTAATTCAATATTACATACTATGTACAATACACAGAATAACAGATCCACAAATATCTTGGGGGTGGGTCTTAAGCATTTGGGCTAATATGTGGAGCTAATTACACATCCCCTCTTGCACTTTTTGTCATCTTTTATGAAAAAGTGCTGATATTTATAGCAAAAAAAAATAGCTTCTGTTAATCTTCTGTTCATCAGGGCCAGGGCTGAGAGAGTTAGACCCAAGACACAGTGTATTGTGCTGGTCATTTTAGTAAAGGACAGAGATAAGAAAAACAGTCATAGCTCTAAACAGTTGGAACTGCTTCTTTTCATAGCTGTCTGCATAGATAAACATTTGTGCTGGAAAATCACACAAGTAGCTTTTACAGAAAGGGAGGACAGCAAAACTCTTCGGCCTAAAATCTGGTGTGTATTAGTTATGGGAACTTCAGCAAGGCGCTGTATGTCCTGAGGGCCTTTCGCACGTGAAAGGAAGGGTAAGAGCTGCTCAGTGCAGTGGCTACAAGAGTTGATATCACACGTGGGAAACCAGCCTGTGTTTCCTGGGCCTCCTTCTCAGTGAAGGCTGCAGTGGGAATTCCCCCAGACTGTCGGCCTGACATAACATCTGACACAGAGGGTTTCAATCCAAATCCTTCATGTCTGGCAAAGCTGTAAGCAAACAGAAATAGAACATGAGAACAAAAAACAACAGGCAGATTTAATCTTAGCTGGTGCTGCGACCTCTGTTTATATTTGAGGGAGGAGAGACCTTCGTGCCTGAAAGGTTCCTCTCCAAAATCATGGACATCCTGCAATGCCTCGGGATGGTGTGCATTTTACCAAAAATACATCAAGCCCAGACACTTTTTCATTTCAAAACAAACAGATCTTTACCATTCTTTCTGCCTCTCTCCCTATCTTGTACAACTCTATGCTTTCCTTCTCAAAACATGCTGTACAATTACTCACGCGGAATTATTCCTTGTTCATTTCACTGTGATAGGGAAAAAAATAATCAGGAACCATGCATCTTAAAACACCAGCAATTAGTGCATCTGTAATATGCTTTAGTTTTTGCGTTTAAGCATACAGTGAAGAGTTTAAAATATTGTATGTGTTCAAATGTTCCAAACCAGAAAGAGGTTTGTAGGCAGCGTATTCCTTATCTTGTAATAATATTTCTTGGACATTCAAATTAAAGTCCGCTAAGTTGTTGTTTTTGCAGAGCTTTGCCCTTTTTTTGCAGCACTGAGCTGTGTGCACATGAGGACTTTGGTGAAGTGAGAATAAATCACACGGAACTGTGCTGTTAGTTCTGCTGCTGTTGCCTGTACAAATGCTGCCTGAATGGCTGCCTACTCTTTCTTTAAAGGGACATGAAAAACAATAATAAAGCCTCTTGGCAGAGCCCTGTCAAACACCATCCAATGGGGCTGGGGCAGATTGGTTTACAGACACTGTGTCTTCCTGCATCTGTTCAAGGATTGGGGCAACACAGCAGCTCTTAGCAAAAAGGTCGTGCCAGAAACATTAGCTCTGGAGGTGGCTCCCCCATCCTTAAGGCATTGCACGAAAATGTAAGGCTCAAAGCGATAAAATTACGGTCCTCAAAATTTTGGCAACTGCTGTGCGCATGAGTCCCGAAGCATATGAGATTAAGCCTGGCCAATTATTCTTGAGGAGAAGGTGAGTTCTTCCCATGTGGAAATTGTGTCCTGTAGCTGGAAATCCCTGCTAGACAATTTCATCAAAATCCCAGTGGTCCTGCAGGTGACTTTTTTTTTGCCGGACTTGTGCTTTCTGGTGAAAAAGGGGAACCAAAGCTGGCGTGACTCCCCAGGCTCATTAGCCCTTTGCTGCTTGCTCAGGTAGGGGCTGGGAAGACCCAATGCAGGCCCCAGAAACGCGGCGCCGCTGAGATCCCTGCATGACGACAGCCCCGGGCACCTTCGGAAACATTAAGGACATGAAATTAAGTCCTGGAAGGGCGATATGAAGAAAGGGAGCTCTACAGGGGACATCCGCATGCCCCCCTGGCCACTCCCAGAGAAAATCCCCGAGGGAATAGGCCAAGCAAGGGTTAGTGGTGGGCGAAGCGGGGCAGGTCGCGGCTGCGCTAACGCGCCAGCTCTCCGGGAGTGCTGCCAGCCGTGGCAGCAGCCTTTGCCCGGCAAAAGCAGCTCCTTCATTAGTGCTGAGCAGTGGGGACGGGTGGCCGGGCAGCAGGCCCTGCCGCGCGGTCTTGGTGTTGGCGGCCCCACGCTCCTCCCACTCACAGCGCTGCCTCCCCGTCCTGCACGGCCGCGTCCCGGGACGGCAGCACTTCCAGGTTTCTCCCTCCTCTCCTCCCCACTTAGTTCTATGTGTTTAGGGTCTCGCTGCAGTGCGGGGGCCAGGACAGATCGCGGGTTTCACTGTCAATCTTTGGGCACTGAGAACGGGCCAAGAACTGGATGGTACCTGCTGATCCGCCTTGCTTCCAAAACCCTGGTTTCTGCAGCTGGTTTTGCTTCTTAAGGCCAGTTTTTGCAGAGCCCTGAGCACCAGGCAGAGGCGGGGTGATGAGTGCCCACGGGGATGGAGCTGGCAGGCTGCAGCGGGTAAAAATAGCCTGTCCTCAGGCGCCTCCGCAGAGACTCGCGCCCCCGGTACGGGCACGGGACTGCCCGCGCGCAGGCACAGGCAGCTCTCACTGTCCTTGCCGTGCTATTGGTTTCGTAACGCACTCGCTGTGCTTGCTGATAAGAGCTGGGTAGCCTTTGGGCCCTGTTCTGCACCCATTGGTGGTGTACTAGCAGACGAGCGCGTGCCTTGCCGCAGCGTGGCGCCTGCAAAGGCTGGGAAAGCAGCTCGCTGGATTTCCAGCTGGGAGTTTTGGGTGGCTGCAGGAGTCCCCAGCGTGAGGTCAGCCAGGAAATTCAATCTCCGCCGTGGGCCTGGCGAGTGTCAGTCGAGGGGCAGCGAAGCCCAGGTCTTTGGCAGATGAATAATGTGTCCATCACATACTGCAGGGGTGGCTGACGAAGCAGGACTGTGCTCGTCCCTGGACGGCTCCAAGGCTGCAAAAGCGCCTGCTGGGTGTGCAGAGAACAGCGTGCAACTCCCACTACAGCTGCCAGTAGTGCCAGTGGAAAGGTTTGTTAATTAAAATGCTAGGAGGTGCTTTTTGCTGAATTAAAACTTCCCTCATTTTTAGATACCTTTTTTTTTTCCCTTGCTCTGCTTCTAAATAAAAATACTAGTGCAAGGAGGAGAGGAGGAGGAGATGGCAGAGGAGTATAAGTGCTTTGTGTTCTGCCAGATGGAACAGACTCTGACCTTCTGCAGAAATTCATCCGGCAGCTGGTTCAAGCAGTGGGGGCACTAGGAGGCTCTGGGGCAGTGGTCAAGCTGAGAGATGAGGCTGACACTCAGATCAGCCTCATTCTAGGTTAGGCCTCTGGGCGGCAGCGATGTGGGTTGGAGGTTGTGGTGCAGAGTTCATCCCTCCGCCTGTGCCATGCCCTTTTGGGCTGCTGCATGAGCACTTTTGTAGCTGGCCTGCAGATACACTGATTAACAGGAAAACGCCTGTATGTTGCCCTGGGAGGGAGCGGGAGCATTTTCATGGCCCGCCAGTGCTAACCTGAGCTATCTCTTCCAGAACGCTCGCAGGTGCTCACAGCGGCTCCTGCCCGCAGCGATGGCGGCGCCCAAGGTGGCCGTGGTGGGCGCCGGAGTCGTCGGGCTGTCCACGGCGCTGTGCGTGGCGGACGCGTTCCCCGCATGCTCCCTCGCGGTGCTCGCGGAGCGCTTCACCCCCAGCACCACGAGTGACGTGGCGGCGGGCATGCTCATCCCACACACCGCTCCAGGTGCGTGAAAGGTAACAGCCCCCAAAGCCTCAAACCCCCAGAGCAGCAGCCTGGCAGACGTTTTACCCATAGCCCCTGTTGGGGCAGGCCAACTCTGTCTTGTCCCAAAGGGAATTTAGGGGAGACTGTGGCTCTTCCTTTGCAGGATGACAGTCACTGCAAACCACTTACCTGCACAGCGTTAAATACAAGAGGTTTCAATAGTTATAAGCTGCTCCCCTGCCTTGGGCGCGGCATTATGTGCAGGGATGCAGCAATGCACGGCATTTCTCCAAGGAGAAGAGCATCCTTCCTTGTGTTCTCCGCTACTGGCTCATACACGTCCTCCGCTGTGTTTTCGCTCTTGATGCTTGCAGTTTTATTTCCGTGCAGGCACCCCGATCCACGTGCAGAAGCAGTGGTTCAAAGAGACATTCACTCACCTTTTTGCCATCAGCAACTCAGCAGAGGCATCCGAGGCTGGCATTCACCTCGTGTCTGGGTAAGAGCAGCCCTCCAAGGTCACCCGATGCCTGTGTGCCGCATGCTGCACGGCCCTTTTCCCTGCAGGACACCGGCAGCATCCCCATGCAGAGTGACAAACCTGCCACACTCCCCAAAACCTGCTGAGGGAGGACATATTTCAAGAAAAACTCATGCATAGACGTGCAGAGATGAACCGCCTTCAGCTAGCTTGCCTGCCACAAATATCATTGTGTAACAAGTGCTTTTCATACCACCAGTTGCTTGCAGCACAGTGGTCTGCATGGGGCTGGGATTGCAAAACGCTCCAACTTTAGCATATCTGAATATGTTCGCTGTATGCAAGGATGTAATGTGTATACAGAAATTGGGCTGTTGAGACTGCTGAGGACAGATACTGCATAGCTTGGGCACCCAAAACCATAGAGTGGCCCTGCGTGAAGGTCCAGTCAGGGAGGCCACAGCTGAGGTGGACACTGAGCTGTGGGGACCTTGTTCTTTTATAGTCACTGGGAAACTGCAGTGTAAGGAGCTGGAAAGAAATGTGGATTCAAAACCACGTGGGGAAAAGGTATTAGCTGGGGAACATCAGCAAACCAACATGAGGAAAGAAAGCTGAGGGGGATTATTTTGCTGATGAGCCTTGGGAGAGGCGATGGGGTCTTGGTAGAAGCCTCCCCGCTGTCCAAAGCACAGAGCCCTTCCCTAGGTTCTCTGCAGGCAGCCCTGGCATCCTTCCTGCCCCCAGAGGAGTTTGTGTCCAAGCTGAGCGTGGTCACGGCAAGGCAAGAGGACACAGACTGTATCAAAAATAGTCCCTGTCCCTCCATCCCCCACAGTGTGGACAGTTGGCCGTTTGTGATCACGCTATTTTCTGCAGTTCCTGACATCTGGCAAATTTTAATCTCTCTCCACATTATCTATCCCAGCATTTAGCCCTCAAGCTCAGCCGTAACAGCTCCCCTGCTTGCTTGCAGAGGCATTTATTATAGTTGCAGCCAGCCGCTCTTTCACCTTCCTCTTAACCCCTTTTAGCTGCACTGATCCATGGGAATGGATTCCTGAATTCTTGCTTTTCGGTTAAGGTTGCAGGGGACGGGGCATGGATGAGCAGTAACTACTACGTTTTGCTGCATTTTACCCTTGTCCTTTTAGCTGGCAGGTCTTTAAGAGCACTCCCGGGGAAGAGCTTCCGTTCTGGTCTGACGTCGTCCTGGGATTTCGAACAATGTCTGAGGCTGAACTCCAGAAATTCCCACAGCACAGATATGGTCAGGCCTTTACAACACTGAAATGCGACTGCCCACCCTACCTGCTGTGGATGGAGAAAAGGTTGGTTTTGCTGCTGGCCAGGGGTGCAGAGCCAAATCCAAACGAAGGGACTGTGGGAAGCAGGTTTGGGAATCCTAGATTTGAGAACATCTGGTGCTTTTTCACTAGGGCAAATGCACTCAGGTGATTCTCAAAGGAGAGCACAAGCAATCCTCAATCTTTCCAAATACTCAATCTTTCCAAACTTTTAAAGGCCACATTTATGTAATGAGAACTTTCTACCCATCTGGCTATGCTGAGGGGCTTCAATTTGGGAATAACTCTGGGGCCAGCATTGGTATAACCACAGGGAGTCACGCCAGGCCAGCCAAACTAGGAAAGCACATGGGTGCTCCTCACTTGCCAGCCATCCCTCCACTCTTCAAGATCCACTCGGTTCCTGAGAGAAGGAGAATATCTGAGAAAATGTCTAATTTGCCAGGACTTTGGATTTAAGAATGGGTTGGTCCAATTCATCTCAAATTTGGTCAACAATCTTGGTCACTTCTTAATCCATTCTGACACAAAAGTTCAGATAATATCATCTTGTAACAAACCTTCTGGGAAGATCTTCCTCTGCAAAGTGTGCACATTGCGCTCAGGGGAGTCACAGCTTTAGCCAGCAGTGTAGGCAAGGCAATCTTTCCCCCAAATACGTGGATTTCAAAGAGTTGTAGGAGAGTCAGGAGGCAGATCTAAAAAGTTCCGACCCCTGGAGTGTACATTTAGCCCATTGAATACCCTTAAAAATGAGCAACCAGTCCTCTGCACCTGAGGGAAAGTGATGAGCTGCAAGCTGATTTGAGGTTAAGTGCTGAGCCGTGTACCTCCGTTGTGGTACAAATTGGCAGCTAATCTTGGATGCCTTTCATCTCAGTGCAAATCGCGGAAAACTGTTTCTTGTTCTTACAACCTGCCCAAGGGGGAGCGCGCGGGTGCCACCACGCGATGGCTGCACCGTCTCCTCCCAGCACATGCTCTGTTGTGTCTCGCTGCCCAACCCATGGGAAATTTCCACTGAAGCACAGCAAAATTGCTAAATCCATTTAGTGCCTGTCACGTGGTTTCTGCTTTCTCCTTATTCCTGTTATAGTCTTATTTCTCAGAGGAGGTCGTCTAATAAGATGATCAAGCTTCTTTTCCTTCTCTTCTCTCTGGTGACCAGAAAAGAGAGCGCATTGAACATGTAACTAATTCTCAAAGCCCCAGTGATCTGAGCAGTATTTATGAACTGTTCTCTTCACAGCGGATGAGGAAAACTGTTTTTGTACTCATTTTCCTGGTTCAAACATAGGAACTTCTTCTGCTTTTTGTCTGAATTCGGGAACTCTCAGCAGTTTTTAATCATAGAATCATAGAATCGTTAAGGTTGGAAGGGACCTCTAGACATCATCTAGCCCAACCCCCCTGCACACACAGGGTTACCTAGAGCACGTGGCACAGGGTGGCATCCAGGCGGGTTTTGAAGATTTCCAGAGAAGGAGACTCCACAACCTCTCTGGGCAGCCTGTTCCAGGACTCTGTCACCCCCACTGTTAAGAATTTTTTCCTTAAGTTCCTGTGGAACTTTTGGTGTTTCAGTCTGTGGCCATTGCCTCTAGTTCTGTCGGTGGCCACCACTGAAAAGAGGCCGTCCCCATGCTCTTCACTCCCTCCCTTGAAGTATTTATACACACTGATTAGATAATGCTGTATTTTGGCTGGCTCAGTGCCGGGGTCCCAAACACAAAGCTGTGAGATGCCCAGCGGTTTGTCCAGACAGGGTTGTTGTACGGGACTTGCCTGGTTCTTTCCCGCCAGCCCCCTGTCCTGCTGTACAGAAATGCAGCAGCTGTGCCCTGGATCCTCAGCTTCGTTGTTGGGAACCAGAGCTATGTTCCTGCAGCAGGTCTTCATTTCCAAATAGTGGGAGTGGAAGCAAATGCTGCTGGGTCTAATGGCTCTGGGAACGGGGTCTCGCTCCTTTCTCACTTCTTCCCTGTCTCACTCCTGCCAGGCCCTGCAACCTCCAGCACTCACCTCCATGTCCAGGTCTCCTGTGGCTCCTGTGTCACAAATGCTTGGCCTGCAGGGACATCCCTGAGACGCCAGGGTGTCTCACCTGATGGGAGGTGACCAAGTTTAGCACCTGAGATACTCCCCTGGTGCCAAGGGAGTGAGTGGGGAATGAGTGTGAGAGTGTGCAATAGGCACAGCAGAAGGAGTGTACCACAGTGCTACCACTAATAGCATGAGAAGCAAGTTAATGAATAAAAATGATGTTTTCAGCTTGCTGAGGCTGCTAAGGTTTGCAATCATTGTAGAAATGAATCAACGAGGCCATGAGGATCTGTCTGTTTATGTCTCTAGGGTCTTATGCCAGACCCTTTTCTGTAATAGCTATCAATTTCCTGTATCTTTTCCTGCCCAACAAGCTAAAAAATATCTTTAATCAGACGAAATCAGGCATGACACAAACAGAAGCCCCACACCACTTCCTTTACTTTTCGTCCCATGTGTTGTTTGCTTTTGATCTGTATGCTAAAGACAACCTCACTTACTTGATGTGCGCAATAAATTCATGAGGGTTTAGGTGTTTCATTTCAGTTTTCCTCCAGGGTATTTTGTTTTGTTTTGTTTTCCAGGTTGAAAGCAAAGGGTGTCCAGATGTATACCAGAAAAGTAGCAAACTTATGGGAGCTGCACAGCGAATACGACATTGTTGTCAACTGTGCCGGCATCGGTGCCCACCAGCTTGTGGGGGACCAGCAGCTGTTCCCTGTCAGGGGTCAAGTGCTCAAGGTTCATGCTCCTTGGGTGAAAAACTTTGTCCGGGATGGGGACGGCTTAACATACATCTACCCAGGGATAAGCAGAGTAACCCTAGGAGGGACCAGGGAAAAGGAGAGCTGGAGCCTCTCCCCTGATCCCAGCACTAGCAAAGACATCTTTGGCAGATGCTGTTCCCTTGAGCCCTCACTCCAGGCAGCTCAGGACGTGAAGGTGCAGGTGGGCCTGAGGCCGTCCCGAGCGAGTGTGAGGCTGCAGAGAGAGGTTTGGAGCCAAGGAGGAGCCAAGCTCCTCGTGGTCCACAACTACGGGCACGGCTCAGGTGGCTTTTCAATGCACTGGGGCACAGCCAAAGAGGCTGCTCAGCTGGTAGGGGAGTGCATTGCTGCCCTGCAAGACTCCTCATCGAGGGCCAAGCTTTGAACCTCAGAGGCTCTTTCCCACTAGTGACAGGCTAATTGCATCCCCTAGCAGCACCTATGGACCCCTGGATGGAAGGAGACCGAGCTGACAGCTTTGGCAGTTGACACTGTTGCAGATGCTGGTGCCATCTCACCTGGCTTGCAGCTAGTGCTCCAGGAAGGTGTGATGGGTTGATCCAAGCATTAGCACAGCTTGCCTGCTTCCTCCATCTACTGTTGTTCCTGCCTCAGTGATTTCTCCTATTTTTGTGTTGAGGAAGATAAAATAAATGTGCTTCATATAGCAGCAATCAGGTTGCTGAAGTATAATTTAAATGACATAAATTTACTATTTGTTCATATGTATCTAATTTGTGTTGGATGAGCTAGATTCAGATTCAGCAAAAGTTATTTTTTTTCTGTTGCACTAAATCTAAGCTGATACTGCCCACACTCCTGCCATCTTGCTAACAATTTTCCAATAGAATTTACAGGGAAATGAAACGCCACGTAGTGCTGCATTGCAGTGCTCCAGGTCAGCTCTTACAAAAAACGATGTTCAGTCACTGTCACATGCAGTGACCACACAAGCATGATTTTAAGTGCAGATTTATGGACTGATCACTACATTCACTAATGTTACACCCTAGGAGGAACCATGAAGTTTCTGAGAGAGGAAGTAGCTCTATAGTAGCCCTATAGTACGAGCTATCGTTTTTATCATTTCTCATGACAATTTCGAAATCTCTCTCTCTCTTTTTTTTTTTTCCTATGTATCACCTCAGTGACAGCTTTGTCATAGCCTTTCTCTGCTAGAAGAGGATTTTTCAGAGTAGGCTTGGGAGTGTAACCTTTCTCCATTACTTCTCACCAGCATTTGTAGCGTTCTTGCAACTGCTGATAGGATTAGCCAGGGACACACCAACATGGATCTTAGCACCAACTTCAGTTACAGATGAGAGAGACAAGCCATTTATGTCAAGATAAGCACTATAAAGACAGTTTTTTTTCTGTAATGGGGTCCGAGTGAAATGATCTCTCCTAATGAAGCCAAGCTGTGGCAGCCCTGGCTGTCACTCCATAAGAAAGGCTAAGCTGAACTTTCCACTTTCCATATTTCAAGCTCTTGGATGTGCCTGGAGATATTCACTGCTCAGAATTAGAGCTTCTGTCAAAGTACAGGATGAATGTCTGACTGTTAGGGATTAACTGCTCATTAGATCTTAAATGACTCATTTAAGAGGATTAGCATTCAATTTTTTGACTGGCTTTTGTCCTTACAATTACAAAACAAATCAAAACCCTTCAAGGATCCACACAATGAACCGATAAATAAAAGTCTAATAATGAAGCAAAGGTCACTTCTGAAGTGTTTTCTTTCATAAATGAGTTTTTTTTTTTTTTTTTTTTTCATTCAGTGGGTTTTGGCAGAGCCAAAAAAAAAAAAAAATGCCATGCATAACTCTCAAGTTTGCAATGGCTGCCAACTCCTGCTATTCTCACTGGGGATGATGAAGACAGTCGTCCTTAGCGAGGGACAGCTGTCGAGAGGAACATCATCATATTAAAGCACAGGTCAGTCAGCTTCGGAACAGCCTAAGCCAGCCCTGCTTTCAGGCATATTTTTGCCCTTTTCTTCTCGGCTCAATCTGCTAATTTTGCATCTCTCCTCCTCCCATCAATAATCCACCTTTCCAGCGATACTAGGGGGCAGAGCTGCTTCTTTTGGCAGCAGTCTTGGCATGGTGTTTGTCGAAGTGTGACTTTGTCCTTGGGTAACACGGAACAAAGACGTGCATGGAAAAAACCCAGAGGAAGAGTTATTTTTTTCCTAATCTTGATTTTCATCTAAGAAATGCAAACAAACCATTCAGCCTAGTCTGGAGCTAGAAACACTACTAATGACAACGGCATGTTCACAGCACCATGAGAAACTTGAATCCCGCCTGAACTCTGGTTGTTCATTTCCACGCTGCAGGATCGTGGGATTTTTTCTCACTTACTTACAGAGTTAGAAAAGTTGCCTGAAGTGACCCCGCAGAAGAGGGTCACTTCTAGCCATTCCTGGCCCAGGACTTTCCTCATCATCCTCGGGGTTAGATGTTTCTCAAATGACTTATCTTCCACATATTTGTCAAATCACTTTTGAAGTCACATACTACTCTTTTGGCATCCTTTGTGAACTTGTACATCTACATTACAATCTCAGTCACTTCTTTTCTATCTTGATAAGCCCTGGTTTATGTAGGTACTATCCATATAATGTTATCCTGTAGCTTTGGTCATCCTTCTCATCTTTACACTTTTTCACACTCTAACATACACTTTTTGAGACGGACGGACCAAAACTGCACACGGTACCATGGTAGAGGGGACTGTGTGTTTAACTGATGCTATAATCATTGTTCTGTTTTCTGCTAGTTTCTTAATAATTTCTAATATTTAGTTGCTGTATAATCACTCTTAAGCTTTTAGCTTACATTTGAATAGACCTGTGTAACTCCCATATGTTGGTCCTGAAGAGCAGGTTCAGGGGCCATTGCCCATTGCTGAACCTGTTTCATGTGGGGTCTTCCTCCCCACCCCAGCCATGTGTTTATCTTTTATCTACATTGAATTCATCTACTATTTTATTGCCTCATCTGGTGAGATGTTTTTTGCTGTTCCTTGCAGCCAATATTTATTTTATCATTTTGAATAAGGCAGTCAGCAACCAGCAAACTGAGTCACTTCATCATTTACCCCCTTACTTATGAATATGTGGATTAGCACTGGCCTTGGTGATGGCTCTCTGTTGCTGAAATGGATCATTTATGCCTACCTTGTCTTTTCTATGCTACAACCAATTGCTGACTCCTGAGAGGACTTTCCTTCTTATCCCATACCTGATTTGTTCCTTGGTGAATATTTGGCAAAGAGCTTTATCTAGAACGTGAGCAGCCCACATCATCTCCATGACTCAAGACTGCAGCCCCACAGCCTCTTCTGAGACTATTAGAGGTTACAGGTGATCCATTTAGCTTTTCTGTTAGGGCTTATCTATCTTCCAAAACTCCTTTAATACCTGATTGGCTGCTGACCGCATACCCTTGGCAGGACCTACTACTGGTGGGTTAAAGAGAGGTTTTTATCTACTAGCAAGTTATTTCTCAAAAACTTCTTCAGTCTGCCTTTCTGACTTCATTTTAAAATTACCAGAGTTTATGTTATTTTCTATTTCCTCATTTGGACATGACTTATCGTTGCTCTTTCACATGCGATTTTTTCTCAGTATATTACAATGAGATAATAATGACCTTTCTTCTGGAAAGCTTCTGATCTTTCTATTGATTCAAGAGCCTGATACAAAAATAAAGCACTTTTAGTCTCTCCTTATTTTCAGACTTCTAGCATACAGAAGAAGCCTATATTCAGCCTGATTGTTCATATTCCTGAGCCCTGCCAGAATGGGGCTACGCTTGATCAGACTGCTCCTTGCCATTTCCTGCTTGCTTTGTAGACTTCCTTCACTTGAAGTTACAAAGATGTCACCTTCAGAGGACCACCCAAACCCTTGCTTCTCTCCCTGGCCACTTTCTCCTACTCTCCAGCTTAAAATCCTATGTTTATCTTACACTTTCCTATAGAGGTTTTCTTCCCTGAAAGGGGAAGGCTTTCTCGGGGCTGACATGGGCATTTCCTGATCACGCTGCCTGAGCCAAGTAAACACCTACCCCCTAGGGGATTCACAGCTTTGGGATGCTTGCAAGCTGTCTGACTTGCATGCAAAGCTTGGCTCTGAGGCAGCCGAAGGCTGCTCAGATGAAATCTTGTGCTCTTCAGCTGCCCTCCCTCATGTGTCAGTCTCTGGCAATATCTCATTAGTCATCCCTGAGCTTCTGCCCTTCACTCAAGAGACTTGCCAGGATCTGAAGCAAAGCCTGTGTTAACTCCTTAGCTCCAATTCCAGCTGAGCTGGTAGCTAAGGAATTTCAGAAATTGCATGTTGACTCTCAGTCTGTCTGTGCTCTTACTTCACCTGGAAATGCACAGCACAGGCCAGAGAAACTCGTGCACGTGGGAAAGTGGTAACAGCTGAAGGTCATTAAATCTCAGCAATTTTCCATCCTGATGAAATGGCTCTTAAGAAAGATTTGGCCTTCACCCGTGGAAATCTGCCAGCTCTCCCGAGACAGTAGTTCATGCTTCACCCGCATCAGCTCCAGAGCTCAGTTTATGGCTCATCTCTCTACCCACCATAACGTCCTTCCCTCCCACATCTTTCACTCCTCTGTCTAAAATCCCTGGGAATGTTAAACGCACTTCAGCAGCAGCCTGGCTTCATGAGCCATTTTTATCACTGGCCCATTCCTCAAGCCTTGAGTGTCCCGACAATATTTAAATGAACAGGACGTGAACACCACCTTCTTATCCCTACTTTCTAATCTACACGGAATAGACATCTCTGACAGATGGCAGCCGATCTGTCACAGTCATAATGAACCTCAGTACAAGATAAAAAAGAAGCAATTTGTATTTGAGGCATTTTTATCAGCTCTTAGGATTGCAGACAGCAGATGGGCTGTATGATGGATTTTAGAACTTGGGCACAAAATAATAGTTTTCTACAATAGGGAGTTTTATTCATTTTGTATCACAGAAGCAAAGCCATAAAGATATATTGTCTCAATACAGACTTCTGCCTATATTAAGAAGACTTTTGCCACTTTCCTCGAAAAATAGAGGAAAAACAGCATTCACAATTCCCTTGCTTTCTTTCCCAATTAAACTGACTTCTTGAGTCAGTTTATGCAAATGCAAATTCATTTGGAGAAAATGTAATAAGTAAATGGAAAACTCATGGCCTGGGCAGACATTTGTGTTGTTTTCGCATTTTCTCAAATAATTGTAATTGCTGCAGGATGGTTTATTTTATTCTGCTTTAATGCCTATTTACCGCTAGAGGGAGATATTGGATTAAGAAGTTACAAGTACAATCACAAACTGCATCACAAGAGGAAGAAAAAGTGATGCAAAACTAAGATGGTAAGTGGAAATGGGGGTGCCTGTTGGTCTACAGGGCTCCTACATACCTATAATGCACAGTTGACTTG